TATACATACAACTTTATAGCTTGAGAATGATATCGTAGAAAAGAGTAACTCTTTGCTGATCACCATCACGTGTTTACAACTCAATGGAAATTTTTAAGTTTCACTAATTTATTATGCGCTACACCGCATCAGCCAATTACTTTACAAGAGTAAATTTATGCCGTCAGTTCGTCTACATTTTGAAACAGTACAAGGGTTCAGTGGTTCATTATTTCTAACTCCTGTTGATTTTCACTAAACTTTTTTTTGATTATAGCTTGAAACCACACAGTATTTTCGGTACAAGTATGGAATTTTCAGAATGTGATATCGGTAGCCCAAATTTTGCAAGCCGACCATAGATATCAGGTGTGCGTCGGCAGGGGATCGAACCCCGGACCATGTGCATGGTCGGCGACAGTCCTAACCACTTGAGTTACTATGCAATTTACTTGTTGAGCATTTGTCCAAACAATAGAATTAGTGGAGAGCTCTAGTCATGAGTTTACACTGGCGACTATGAAATCCATCTCCAGTCGTATACTGAGAAGTTAGAAAGTATAAACTATTTACTTCAGGGGATACAACTCATTCACCTTTGCTAAGACTCTTCTGTCTTCATTGAGTAATATTAAAAAGAATTGAAGGGACTCAGTCAATAAAAGCCTGAATATTTCTGACAAAGGCTCCTTTAATAAAGGAAACATTTCTAACTAAAATCAGTGTTAGACAATATCTCATCCACTGAATCATTCACATAAGCCGGAACAAATCACTCGCCTACGCGTGACCACCTTGAGCATGACGTAATAAATATTCTTATCTCATGGCTTGTATCTCCTTAAGTTGTGCTATTTTCTGTCAATCCCTACCAGTATTGCAACTCATGTGAAAATAAAATCTGAAACTATGAAAAGTATTTCCGGGACAATGGAAATCCTCAAAAAACAATGATTGGTAATCACAAGAAAACAGAAAAATTGATGTAGTTGAGCATAAACCAATCCTCTTGAAGCTTGGATTTATCTCGAAGAATTAAATATAGAATAAATGCCGCTTTCAAATGAAGTGACTAAGCCTCCAGGTTAGTAGCAGTTTATCGAAAAAATTGTTCACTGTGTCTATCTACCATTGACAAAACCCCCTTTGATGTTACCTCCAACTTGAGACTGAACTGTGTCAAAGTCTAAGTGACAGAGACAATGTTAAGCGCGAAACCTATGACTTGCTTTGTTGTTAATAACATAATTTTAGGCTCTTTTATTTCTCTCTTATTTTGTATTCTATAGTGAACTCCTTCTTAAACACAATTAGCTACCTAAATTAATAACATTGGCTTCCTTTTTGTACTTTACTCTATTCCTTCTTTTGTGTATCTACTGGTTCCGACTATATTAGCACTATGAGTATTACAAAATTGTCCTGTCATTAACCATCATGTAATTATTAGTTTTTGTGGTTGTTTTTTAATTTTTGTTCGGCAATATTAACTGACAACCATTGGTTGTGAAAGTTATTATCACCATCTTAAAATTTTCTATTATGCAGGATTACTCACACTACCACTACAAACACCGCATTAGACCTGACAATAAAAAAAAACCCTGAGATGTTATTTTATGATAGTTGTGTTGTTCAATCAAATTAACTGATCTTCTTGGCGATAAATATTCTTAAATATCATTTCATAACTTCTTGTATGACTATAGCTTTACTGTCACCATAATCATATCATAGCTTCCACTACCCAATACTGAGATATTATTTTACGTTGTTTATTTTCCTTTCTACTTCTTGGTTTTTTCGCATCTCTTTTATAATTATTTTTGTTGTTGTTGTCTTTATATTTATTTTTTGAAATACTCCTTTTAAAGTTTGATAAAATTAGATGCAAATATTGTAGATATGTGCTGAAAATTCCACACTGTACCACTAGTACTGTTTCTGGAATAAAGTAAATTATTATTATTACTATTATCATTAAAGTCTTTAGTAGTGAGATCGCACACCGCTTGTTAGATAGTGGCAATGAAATTGATGTATTAAAATCATACATGATAAATTTAGGTTCAGGGCAGTTCCAATTATACTTAAGAAGTTACTATTCAACAGTGGGAACCGAACTCATGCATTCTGAAGCAAACCCTCGTTAATCTTGTCTCGCTATGGTGAATATACACTTTATGTTATTTGAATTATATCTTGTTTTGACAGTGTAACTTCCCCTCCCCCCCCCTTAATTTTATCCAGTGAAAAGATGAATAACGAAAGGAGAAGCTGAGTTTAATCAATAACGCCCTTAACGAAGCACTGAAGAAGACTGTTAAGAAAGACAAATGACAATTCTACTACATAATGGAAATTGGAACAGAACAGGCCTCAGGGACCTCAGGAAATAGTATTAGGTGACCAAGTAGTTATCGGGGAAGAGATAAGCACAGATGAAACCAGTGAAAGACAGAGAAGGGAACCAAGTTACCGACAAGAAGCAGAGGAAACAATGAGCTGGAAACTGCTTCAACACTACCAAGTGCCCCGAACCTTAATCAGCCTAATTCGGCAGCCGTATGATAATGTCCCATACCAGGTGATTCACCACAGAGAATTCAGCGAAGAGTTGAAGTGAAGACAGGAATAAGACATAAGCGCCTACTATCACCAATGATCGCCGTGGACTGTATCATACAACAAACTTTGGGGAGCGAGAAGATGGGAATACGTTGGATAGGTAAGAAGACTCTAGATCAGGACTTCGTGGATGATTTATGCTTAATTTCGTAAAAACACGAAGCTCTACAGGAGAGTACCAACGAGTTGACAGGAGAGTCAGGCAGCGAAGACAGAGGTGGGGAAGATGCCTAATCAACAATAACAAGCACTAATCATTATCAACGGAAGAAATGTGAAAGAAGCCACTTCTTTCACTTATCATCTCCGTAGCATCAGCGGAGATGAAGATTTCAAAGCTAGGATTGAAAATGCAAGGCAAATCTCCATCACTCTAAAATCAGTTTAGAAATCTTCTGCAGTCAGTATAAAGAAAAAATATATGTGTAAAATTTGGGTACTGTGGTAGTAAGTAATTCTATATTAGTTGGCTTATTCGATATATCACACAGTGAAACAGAATTATTTACTGGATGACGTTTCGAATACAGTTTATCGCTCATAATCATGTCAATTGTAATCACACAACTTCGAAACTTCAGTTTTATAGTTTCCTTTGTCCTCTCCTATTTGTCGTCGTTGGGGTAGTAGAATTTTCAAGATATCTGGGACAGGTGTTGAATCATTCCTATTACACGTATTCTCTTCAGTTGATTCGATAAACAAAGATTCTGTGATCAATCTCTCCCTCCACCCTGTGACATTAGATTTTAAAACCGTCATCTTATCCCACCCATCCTATTGTATGGTTGTGTAATTGCATGTAGTGAGTGCTATAGCTGAACTGTTCTCTAGATTTCTTATCTTATTCGGGTCAACCAATCCAGATTTTGCTAGGTTTTTATGTTCGAGTAGTCTGACTGCCCCTGTCCTACTACTTTTACCTACGTATTTGACCTGACACACAATCATTCCAGGAGGGTATTAGATAAACTAAATTGTTTTGTTTTAAAGGCTCCACTGGCAGGATCCTTTAACCGACAAAGCTTGTTTCTGAATGAGTTTGTGGGTTTAAAATACCAGCCACTTTTATTCCTGCCTTGTTAAGAATTCTGCGTGAGGTTTCTGAGGTTCCTTCCTTGTATGGAATTACTAGTGATGATTTAGATGCCTTATTGTTGGTGTTGCCTTGCGCACATTTGACTTGCATGTCGTCATTAATATTATTATTATCATCACTATCGCTACTATCATTTTTTATTTTATTTTTACATTTCTTTACATATTTCCTCACTAATTTATCAGGGTAATTATTAAGTTTCAAGGCTTCTCTTATATGTACCACTTCCTGTCTTAAATTTTCCTTGGTACTACTTAGTTTTTGCGCTCTGTCACTTAAACATTTCACCAATCCTATTTTTACTGACAAAGGATGGGATGACCGGAAGTTCAAATATCTGTTTGAATGTGTGAGTTTCCTGTAAGCACTAGTGTTTAACTTCCCATCTTCTTTCCTTTTTACACTGCAATCTAACATTGGCAGTTCCCCCCACCTGACTTTACAATTCATAAGTGAATTGAATTGCCTCCACCTTTGAGTTAATGTGTCCGAAAAATCTATCTATATTTTGTGCTCTAAGTACAGTGAATGTGTCATCTTCATACCTACACCATTCTTTTGGGGTGGGGTTGAACGTTTCAATCACTATGTTTTACCACTTATCCATGAATATATCCGCTACAACCTGGGATATTGGTGACCCCATGACAACTCCCTCAGTTTGTTTGTATATTTTCCCTTGGAATTTAAATACTATGGAAGTCAGGCATAGCTGTACTCCCAGCATTATGTCCTTAACTGGCACTTTCGTCCTAAGTTGGAGTTCTTGATCAGAAATGAGTTCGTTTCTGACTGCCTCTATAGCCATATGTTATTATTTATTTATTTAAATAATACTGTTGCACTGTGTGATACATCTAATAAACAAACTAATATGGAATAACACCAATGTTAAGTCAGTCAGTCCTTGGCAGGTCGCGAAAAGCAATTCCAAAAGGCTACTGCAGACCTTTATCAACAGCTCTCTTCGCAACTAGAAACCCTGGGAACGAACCAATGAAGATCCTATTGCTCAACAAAGGAGAAGGACAGAACACACGCTGAAAAGACCGCTGGGTGACATCGCACGCCAGGCCATCGGTCGAATGGAAAACGACGATTTAAGCCTTGGGCCGAGGCTGACATGCAGGAGGTCGTGTAGGGAGAAGGAGAAAACGACGAAATGGAGACATTCTGTTGAAGCTCTAGATTTCACACAGAACCCAAAGGAATAATAATAGCAATAATAGTTTAAATATTTCTATATTGACATAAAAAAATTGTTTAGGATTGTAAGCATATTTGAAAGCAGAACTGCCGAAAATAATGATGACATCATGGTATCCTGCCCAATTCGTTATTGTTGTTTTGTTCAAATTCACTAAGAGAAATAAATAACTGTAAGGAAAAAGTATATTTATTTATTATTTATTTTGCATTACAAAATACTTATTTTGGCCATCATTGTATTAGGCGAAAGGTGAATCAAAAACGAAAATAATAACAATAATAATAATAGTGGTGACAACGAAAAAAGCAGCAGCAATTGATAGATCACAATGATGATGAATGACAGTGAGGTGGCACGATGGACAGCTTGTGTAGTCACACTGGGGGAATAAGGCAGTTAAGCAATAGTATCTATCACACACACACACCGAGCATTAATTGTCCCATAATGTTTCATAAATATGAGTGACTGTGTTTGTGAAAAAAAACTTATCTTAAAAAGTAAAACTCACTTCTCAAAATACAAAAGAGGAAAGAAAACAGAGGCAACACAATGAAAGGGAACTTGAAAATAAAACTTAAATAAAATATGAAGATAAGCCTGATATTATTAATATTAATATTATTATTATTGCATTACTTTTCCTTAGTTACAAGGAAATTACCACAGATACAGATTGTTGGGGGTTTTAACAATTGACAATCGAAAAATTAAGGCGTATAAGATTGCAGTAACTCGACCAACCAACCAACCAATCAACCTAAAGGAGTAGAAATCCACCGGTGTTCACTTCTCTGCTGGTGAATACGAAGGTCGTTTCAAATGAAGAAGATTACGGAAAGGCTTTGGACCAGACCAATATCCACTGTAGAAAAACGGGTTAAAGAAAAAACAAGGTACAATCATGTATGAAAAAATAAATCTGTCACCAGGTCAGTAAATAGAATTAAAAAGACGTAGGCTAGTATAATTAATATAACGGAGAAACAAAAGTTGGTAGCTGCCAGCTTAGTTAATCATAGGATTATGCGTTGTACAATTCACAAAAACAACAAAACTAGGATAGAAGTTCTGATTGAAATTGACGAGTGCAATAAATCCCGAATCGTTAGCTTAGGCAAATAATTAGATCTAGACTAATGGCACACAAATTCAAATCCCTTGCGATCCCCACTCCTAAATTTGAAAAGATAAGATGGTGCATCTGAATGCCTCTCAACAGACACTTGCAGTTCCATGCAGCTGGCAATGAACCACACATTTTAAATAATTACTAATGATACTGCCAGGATGTTGAAACCTACACAGGTGGAGTGCAATTTGGACCTGTGACTACGTGGATGAGAGACGAGGGCTCATAAGACACATATTCACAAACGATAATGTGGTATGTCCAATTATCAGAGAAGAGATATTGCAAATAATTCTAACTGACGAAATTGTAAGCAGTTACGCAGCTTTACAAGCTGAAATGCAAAATGGCAACAAATATATAACATTCAGGAAGAGGATGGTCCCATCATGCTATCTCATTTCACAGATACCCATTTGAGACATTTTCAGAAACATCGACAATACTCTTTAAAACGCAGCTTAAAATTTCCTAAATTTCCTTCTATGTTTTCGAAAACCAACCATCAGAATAACCATTATAACCAGAACTAACACCAAGGTTAGGAAAAAATAAAAATTGATTCACACTGACTGGTTCGCTTCAACGTGCAACATTGAAGAGATGTGCACCAGTTCGAGTTGCCACTCTCATTCCATGTACCACACAGAGCAAAAGAACAGATTGAAGAGATAGAGAGACAATAAACAGAAGTGTCAATGGGGGAAAAAGAATAGTAATATGGAAGAACAATAGAGTTTGATTGGATACGACAGATCACGAAGAATGAAAATGCATCTAGACCAGCCACTGAGAACCATTTTGAGCCATATCATCCAATTATCTCCAACTATTAGTTCTCAGCATCCCGAGGACACCTCAACAACTCAAGAAGTCTACACCTCCCTCCTTACGTGGCTGGCTGGATTGAACTAACCGTTGTGGATTTCATTGACTGATGATGACCACCACTGACTGACTCTTTTCCAACTTGATCCTATGTCAGCTAACATAGCCTGTCGAGTAAAGCGATGGTTAGGTACACACAACACGTCCTAACCATGTCAATCGGCATAACCTCACACTAGATACGCTACTGTGTAGTGAAATGGTAAATGGTCCTACAGGGAGGAGGCACGCAATACACTCAGTCAGTAGTAGTACATACACATAACCTAGTTACACAGGATGAACATGTAAGCTGTAAGCTGGAAAATTAGGTTGTGGTGACAGCTGTCTGCAAGTCAAAATTGTAGACAACAATTTACGTCAATATTCACGTCCCGAATCAGGATCATGAGAAAAACAATAACAAAGCTTAACCTTGAGGAAATCACCAGCCAATCCACAGTGTAGTTAAAGCGTATCAATATGATTTACAGGTATCTGACTTGATTTTCCGAGAAACCGTCACAAAGAGATATCACAATAACTTTCAATTGTAAAATCTCAGCGAATTTGAAACGATTAATTCCAATGTTTCGTTCGGCAATCTGGTCCGAACTTCTTCAGGGAAATTAATCAAAATTAACATAACAGAGGTTTATGTATAAAAGGAACATCACTTGTTTTTATAAACTTTGTCCAATCATGAGTTATGAAACAGACATCAACATGTATAATAAACAAAATAGTACGTTTATATATATATATATATATATATATATATATATATATATATATATATATGAAAGAGGCACATCTCTTGTTTTTAAAAACTTTGTCCAATCATATGAATCATGAAACAGGTATCAACATGTAAAATAAACAAAATTGTATGAACAGTGATCAAAATTTGACCTCAGACTTTCAGAGTTAGTCTACTTTTAAAAGTCAATCTGAACGAAGAATATTCTTTTCAATAATTTCTCTTCAGGTTCTTACAATTATAAAATATAATACTATTTCTTGTCGTTACAATAATGGCCAGTTTTGCGGCGGAAACTTAAGAGAAACTATTTAGAAGAATATTCTTCGCTCAGATTGACTTTTAAAAGTAGACTAACTCTGAAAGTCTGAGGTCAAATTTTGATCACTGTTCATACAATTTTGTTTATTATACATGTTGATACCTGTTTCATGACTCATGATTGGACAAAGTTTTTAAAAAGAAGAGATGTTCTTTTTATAGATAAACCTCTGTTATATTAATTTCGATTAATTTCCCTGAAGAAGTTCGGACCAGATTGCCGAACGAAACGTTGGAATTAATCATTTCAAATTCGCTGAGATTTTACAATTGAAAGTTGTTGTGTTATCTCTTTGTGACGGTCTCTCGGAAAATCAAGTCAGATACCTGTAAATCATATTGATACGCTTTAACTACACTGTGGATTGGCTGGTGATTTCCTCAAGGTTAAGCTTTGTTATTGTTTTTCTCATGATCCTGATTCGGGACGTGAATATTGACGTAAATTGTTGTCTACAATTTTGACTTGCAGACAGCTGTCACCACAACCTAATTTTCCAGCTTACAGCTTACATGTTCATCCTGTGTAACTAGGTTATGTGTATGTACTACTACTGACTGAGTGTATTGCGTGCCTCCTCCCTGTAGGACCATTTACCATTTCACTACACAGTAGCGTATCTAGTGTGAGGTTATGCCGATTGACATGGTTAGGACATATTGTGTGTACCTAACCAACACTTTCCTTGACAGGCTACGTTAGCTGACATAGGATCAAGTTGGAAAAGAGTCAGTCAGTGGTAGTCAAACCGAAACATGGCTTCATCATTCAATGAAATCCACAAGGGTTAGTTTAAGCCGGTCAACCAGCCAGCTACGTAGGGATGGAGGTGTAGGCTTCTTGAGTGGTTTCGGTGTCCTCGGGATCCTAAGAACTAATAGCTGGAAACAATTGGGTGATAAGGCTCAAAATCGTTCTGAATGGCTGGCGTCGATGCATTTTCACTCTTCGTGGTCTGCCATATCCAATCAAACTCTATTGTTCTTCCTTATTACTATTCTTTTTCCCCACTCACACTTCTGTCTATTATCTCTCTGACTTTTGAATTTGTATTTAATCTGTTCTTTTGCTTTGTGTGGCACATGGAATGAGAGTGGCAACTCGAACTGGTGGACATCTGTTCGAAGTTGCGCGTTGAAATCAGTCAATTAGGCAGTCAGTCAGGAAGCCGAATAGGAAACGAAGAGTAGGGCATCCCAGGGTCACATGGAGGAGACTAAAGACTATGGGCGATCATGAAACCAACTAAATACGACCGCAGAAAATAAAAAGCAAAGTGGAGGTATGCTGTTGAAAATCTGTGTTCCACTCGGAACCCAAGGGAACAGTAATAATAATTATGTTATATGTGAATGAACAGACAAGTGCTTCCCACATAATCAGACAGTCTTATGTATTATTCCAGGTAGGGAGCAGTGTCGTGAGTGTACACTATCAAAAGGTCAAGAACTAATCTGTACGGAAGGTAACATACACAAATATACACAAAACAAATAATCAAAAAATGCTTACTTTATAAACCAATCCCAGTAGATAGGCGGTAGGACAAATGTCTTCATAAAGTAGAATAGATAACGCTCTTTCCCTTGATCAATAGGAAGTGTTTCTAATGGTTTCATGGAATAGTCGAATTCAGCTATGATACCTCGATTATATCCTGTCACTAAGGGGCATGCAGTATATCCATCGTACTAAAAACAAAAAATTATTTTAAAAAAAGCAATGAATTAATAAAGAAGCAATTAATTTACATAATGGTTCTGAGATTAATTCTAAACGCTGAATAGAATGAATGAATCAAATTAACCATTTGCCACTGCTTTTATTGAGAACTCCTACATGATGATCTGTATTATATCACCATTACAAATATCTAAGGAGAAATAAAGTTCATGCCACTATCATTTAAACAGAAATAGATGTCCAATAATATGAATGAATAAACTGAAATAGGACAACAAAGGCATGAAAACTATTATTATTATTATTATTAAGAACCTACTAGTCCTTTTGTCAATTGCAGGAGATTCAAACTTTACAGCACAGGTATATAAACACTACTGGAGGTCAGGTATTATTAAAACCTTCAACATCTCTCTATGTCCCGATTTAAGAAGTTAAGGCACTCAGGCATAACTCAACCCCTACTCCTCCCCTTACAGTTTGTCAACTCGTGCATCTTATCTATTCTTCTTTACTGTTCACCCTTATTCTTTCCTGGATTGCTTAAAAAAAAGAATATGTCATACTTCGTAGAACTCTGAAGACTGTCGGTCAGTAGGGCAAGTGGTATCTCATTGGACCACATGGTTAACACTGTCATTAATGATAGGCACTTGATGTCATGCAACAAATTTGCTAAAGGAATTTTGTCAGACTGTGAGCATCCACCGCAGCACCCGCAGCTCCAACCTTGTGTCTCTTCAGGTAAAACAAGCAGTCTTTTCAGAAGACTTTATGCACGTACTTCTAGGTATAAAAATTCCACTATATCATATTTAGCAAGTATTTTATGTGATGAAAATAGTGTCAGGCATGAACTAACTAACCTTCTTTGCACTATTAAATACACCATTTCCTCCACCCTTACAACATCAACCTTTATTGTTATTGTACTTCTTATATTTACAGTCCTCTCACGTTTTTGTTTTTATTTATTTATTTTTTCATAAGTGTGAACATCATTTAAGCTGTGTTATAACTGTTAATTTTGTCTTTCCCCTCACCATACTGTATCAACAGAACACTAGATCTAATAATCTATAACATGCTAACGTTTCCAAACTGAATCGACAATACTGTTTGAAACAAACTCACTGTTATTGTTATTATAATTATACTTATTATTCTCAATTCGTACTTCGAATATTTTTTAACTTTATATCGTAAATGTGGACAAATCCCTTTGGTTAGTTTTTAATTTTATTTATATTTTGAGTAAATCAGATGCAATATTGTGACAAATGCTGAGAATTTCATTCTGTATTAGAAGCAGTGTTTTTGGAATAAAGTATATTATTATTATTATTACTATTATTATGCTTATGTTTTTTTTCTTTAAGGTGACTCGAATTCAGCGCGAATCCCCTTTCATACACCTGTTTTAAATTCTAGAGAGATAGATCTAGCCGATTAACTCGAAGTGGGATACACCCATAAACTATTCAAAAGATAAAAAAAATAACTAACAATAGTAGCAGCAAGTAAAGTTTTCCACAAAATTTATATGCTGTTCGACCTATCTGTCTACTTCACAGAGGGCTAGTTTCGCATACGCCAGTTTACGCCGTCTCTAGCATAGACGTGACATCCGGCTATCGAACAAAGGGCGTGTGTACTGCTCAACAGTCCGCTCCGTCCTCCTTTATGGGTGTGAGCGAGACATGGCCATTGAGAGTGGAGGACATGAAAATGCTGGCTAGTTTTCTTTTGATCATAGGCGTCTGCGTTCTATCTCCCGTGTTAGATGGCATAATACGGTGAGCAATATTGAGGTTAGGCGTCGAGTGCTAGGTAGGGAGGGGAAATCAATCGACGAAACTGTGAAATTACATCGACTGAGATGGTTAGGACATGTGTTACGCATGCCTAGCCATCGCCTTCCTCGACAGTGGGCAATGTTAGCTGATATAGGGTCAGGATGGAAAAGAGCTAGCGGCGGTCAAACCAAAACATGGCACCAGTCAATGAAATCCACAACAGTTAGTCTAAGCCACGTAGGAAGGTGTAGACTTCCTGGTTGGGGTCCTCGGGACGGTAAAATCTAATGAAGGCTGGAAACAATTGGTGATATGGCTCAAAATCGTTCTCAGTGGCGCAGATGTATCCACTCCTTGTGAATTATGATTTCCAATGAAACTGTTTTGTTCTTCGTTATTACTATTCCTTTGTTTCACACCTCTGTTTACTGTCTCTAATACACATTTCTCCTACTTTCTTCTCTTGCTTTGTGTGCTACATGAAGTGTGGCGACTTGAACTACCGCACATATGTGCAAAGTTCTATGTCGAAAACAGACAGACAAACAGACGTCACAGTTGTGATGTGAACTAAAATATTTGTAAGTTGGGGAAGAAAGACCAGAATGATCATTATACAAGGCAAGGTACCAACCAATATTGGTTAGTGTAGCTGTGTTCTCTGAACTGGATGGATGGTTTACTTGCAAAGACCTCTTTGTCTTCGCATCAGCGAATATAAACTGGCCATCAAAAGACAATGATATCCATTCCTTCACATCAATGCATACAGACAACCACAGACAGTAATTCGACTGGGAAAATGTACAAACTCTAAACAAAGGAAGCGCCAACAATCCCAGGGAGTTTCTAGAAGCCTATTATCGAGACGAATCTGTAATCAACGGAAATATTGAAACAGACAAAATCTGTCAATCAATCAATGAAAAAGAATTCATCTGAACAGAAGGTCAACAAAATAATCAATATCCAGAAACAACTAGTCATGTTGAAGTTTACCAGCAAAAGCAGCTGTTAAACTTGTGGGGAATTCCAAAAGTTCACTTCGAAACTAAAGTCGGTGATGAAGACGTTATCTGGAAAGAAAATGAAAGTTTCGTGTAACTGTACCATCCAGCTTAGAGAAGACAACTCCAGCAATGTCAACCAACCAAGCTACAAATCTTCCCCACCATATAGTAGCAATGCATGGAGTCATTAAAAACTATCGATTTGAACCATATATATTCAAGTTAAATGAATAAACTTCATTGAAACATAAAACAAAACGAGGACTTTAGCAAAGAAAATAACAATCATTAATTTTCAATTGTTGCTTCATACGGATTCTATTGATTTCAAGATAGGTCACAAATTGACGTCAGTTATCAGTTATCTGGCACTCTACCGGCTAACACATACGACACCCAACTACACTGCCCACGAGTAATGTACAGGTCAGCTAGTAAATTCCGAAGCCACTGGTTATGTTATGCAATCACGTTTCTCATTACACCTTCCATCATCACTCCATGTGCACCAATAACTTAAGCCTACCCTTAGAATAATCTCACTATCGATAACAATTAATGCTGACTGCAAATAAGTATGTTTGTTAAAGTTTGACATTGAGTGCAAATACTGGAGTGCACTATATATATATATATATATATATATATATATATATATATATATTCGTTTAGATGATTATGAATCAAAAATTGGTTAGAAATATGAATGAAGTACACGAGATATGAAGTAAATACATGACAGAATTGAATTTTCTTCATATAGTAGAAAAACTAAGTGCATTAGAATATGAGAAATGCAATTTTCCTAAAAAATGAAAAACTAAGATATTAGGTAGTTGGAGGCAATCGGCCACAGGAAGCCCAGTCTGACCTAGGTTTCGTGCTAGCTGGCATTCACCAGTCAGCAAGGCGTATCTGCAGTCACCTTGAAGGAACTCACGTCCCTTCTGAGATTCAAACCCGCGTCACCCAGATACATTACCCCTGAGCTATTCGGGCTCGCAATTGACCTCCTATAGGACTGTAGTGGACAGAAAGGACTAGACACGTCGTACTAGTTACTAGTATCCAATCAAAAAACTAAGATGTTCTGTAAACTACCACTGTCATTAGGAATGATAAAAATAAAATGAAAACAAAGCCTCGGAATAATAAAGACACAAAAGTTTTATAAATCACATATTTATTATAACTTATCTCAGATCGATCACGCTAGTGCAAGTGCATTTATATTTCATCATAATCACACCCCATATAACATTTTTTTCGTCATATTTCTAGTCCATTAAGTTGATGGTTGACTGAATTCCATGAAGAGTTGGTTTGTGCAAGGACTGGATTGGTTACAGGTTTGGTCACGAGTTGACGTCAGTTAGAGAACCACTAGAGAACCTGGGAGCACTCAATAGCTGTTTCGTCTTAGTGCAAGACTCTTCATCTGTTCGCCCAGGACCTTCCGATTGCTAGATGAGCTCGTGGACTATTCTATCAGTCAAATTAGCAAGGTGACCACCAAGCCAGGTGACTCTAAATTAATGGTGGGTGGGATCAGAGATAATCGATACGGAGCTTGTCAGCAAGGCGCGCATATGCAACCAAGAAACGAATCTTCGAGAGGATATCAATTCCTTCGAGGTGGCAGATATACCCTGCTGACGGATGTCACCAAGTGCGAGACCTAGAGGTGCAGTATCTCTTACCAGTTACCTCAAACCACCTTTCTCATCATCCATCTTACAGGACTTTTTCACTTTTGATGATGGTTACACCTCAAAAATTTCATCTGCCCTCCTTCTTATTGCCATCCAGATGATGTGCAGATATGTTGTATGGCAAGTCGCACTCTCACCCCCCCCCAAAGGCTAGGCTACATCAAAGATGTAAAGAGTTATGGAAAATATTCTCCATATTACAGAAGATGAGAAAATGCACAAAATACTGCTCGAATCTGCATCATTTGACTTCAGTTCATGGTATGTAACTTTAAAGCATCAGTCTGACAACACAAAAATCTGCATATCACTTAAAATTGAGAGATCAAAGGTAAATTTTTCAACCTCCAACTACGATGACGTATAGACGTGATTTGTTGGCTTAATCAGTTAAAAAACGCCGACAAAATGACATTGAGTGTGGTTCACTGACCAGCACACATAAATTCGCACACGGTCCCTAACTTAAATTATTCTTGTTAATTATCCATATGGAATTTTAATTAATTAATCTCAGCATGGAGCTTACTTTAGCAACATTGCCTTTACCACCTTTCATAACATCGCATAGATTCTTTTCCAAAACACCGACTTGACCAGCTGAAAATGAAAACACCAAACAAACAAGTAAGGAATACATTTTTTTTAAATATTCAATGAGATTAAAGTCCAGTGGTCAAATATAACGACGACGACGACGACAAGATTAGGAATCGAATAGGCTTCAACCGACCACCAATCAATTCAAAGTTTCACAAGCGATAAATGCACGAGATTTTTATTATTACCATTGCAGATACTGAGCGGAATTAAATCTTGGATATGCCTAACAATGTCTACCGATCAGTCGACTTTCGGCAGTAAGTTAAGTCAGAAGGTTAATTATACTTCCAAGATATTCAGCTTTCAAGAAAAAAGAATGGATCTCCGTAAAGACCGATTTACCACTGACCAAAATGGAATGTACAGTTGGTTAACTGTCATAGTCATAGGAAAAGAAATCTCATCGGTTATCTTGTGAAAAAAATCTGTCACAGTCTCACTGAAGATACACTGAGAGTAGGGGATTGAAATCGTTCAAAAACATTCTAATTAAGAATGGATATCTAACTTCTTTAATCGATGAACATTTAAAGAGACGACTTAGGCCCCATTAAATCTAGATGTGTCTAATATACAACTAATTTTAAACCTCAAATTGAAAGGAGATACAATTAGTGAAGTCTTTCGAAGCTATCAGAGAACTTTCTTTCCTGTATCTCTACGCTCCACTCTCCACACAAATGCTCTTGTTCAGCAGGATACTGTTTAGACGTAATCATGAACACACAAATCAGCATAATTATTGAAAGGAGACCACCACAAAAGTGTCAACAGATGAATTCATTCCAAGTCATATGCAAAGTAAAAATTCAGTCAGTCAAAAGGATTTCGCTTTACTCTTCGTGTAGCCACCGCCCATGAGACAAAATTCTATATTTATATGTTTAGAAACGTTTTATTCAACCATAGGCTCAGAGTCATTTCCTTTTCTTTTCTGATTTGTTACATAATAAACCCTATGTAATTTTCTGTGAACCATTTGTGTTCTTGTTTCTTATCAATTATCTTTACAAAAAAAATTCATCGCGTAATTACCTTCTTACTTGGCTGTCTTAAACTAACTCTTGTGGATTTCATGGATTGATGAAGTTATGTTTTGGTTTGACTACCACTAGGTCTTTTCCAACCAGATCCACCCTCTGTTAGCTAACATTCATTGCTGGTTGTCTAGGTAGGCAATAGAGGCATGCATAACACATTTCCTAGCCATCTCTTCCAACCAGTGTAACTTCTACCGACCTAGCTGCCACCTTGACGTGGTGGTCGGGCTTGCACACCGCGATGACCCAACAAGCTACACTGGCTGGGACCAATGTTCCTGCAGGTCCTACCATGTCAGGAAGATTGTTAAGATAGTGATTAGACTAAAAGCAGTTACCGGCATTGTCTAAGAATCTTTCCTACACTATGCTGGGGGTCTGAGGGCGAAGTCGTACTGCTGGGGAACAGGGGTGTAACAGCAGTAAGGTGTTTCACTCAGATGACCAGCATGCCAGCTATGCTGTCTCTCCCCTGTGGAGAGATGGGGTTAGAAAAGGTCGACCCCGAAAATTGTACATCCCGACTTACCCTACGGTGGTCCGTAACCGGCGGTAAGTTTACTAATACGCAACCAATCCCAGAAACCAGTTCATACATGCGGTGTGTGACAGGCCTCAAGCAGTTGTTGCCTGGGCTCTCTGCGGTCACGCAACACTAACCCTCTTTCTGTTTCAGGTACCCGAAGAGTCAATCAACTTCAACAGTGTAGGCAGCCGGGAAGTAACAACCGCCCACACACTTCCAAAAGCACACAAAGCCTTCCTGAGATAGACAGACCTACCTAGCACTCGACCGAAGAAGCGTAACCTCAATATTGCTCACCTTATTATACCACCTAACAGACACGGGAGGTAGAACACAGATACCTATAATCAAAGACAGCTAGCTGGCCTTTTCATGTCTTCCACTTTCAATGCCCATGTCTCGCTCACAGTTAGCCATCAAGGAGGACGGGCGAAATGCTGAGTAGTAGACACATCCCGTGGTTGACAGCCAGTCGGATATCGATTCTACGCCAGAGATGGCGTGAGTTGTCATTTGTCAAACGAGCATTCTGTATCCGTGCTGAGATATCATCAGCGATCAACCCGTTGACACTGGTTAATGCAACTCCTTAAATAAGTGAAGTGGTCAACACACTCCACCAACCACTTCACTCCCGCTTATCTTTAAGCTAGGAGAGAGTCAATATATTCCAGTCTTGTAGCCTCATTATCTTTCATTTGACGGGATCGAATCACATGCCAAACATTCGAAGATTGTTGCTCGAGATGTTGAGTATACTCTACTGCATTTTGTCAGCGTCTTCACCAGGAGGAGTAGGACAATATCATCGGCATACTCTACATCAACAATACTGTTCCCTGGTAACACCACCACCACCGGTTGCCTTCACTTCAGATGACTATCTCGATTGTGTAAGATTGTTTATTTTTCATACAATCTGTCTTATCTTTGTTAATAAATGACAATAACCTCTAACCTTTGTTAGTCATTAACCTTATACATATAAACTATGCAACTTTGATGAGCATTTACGAAAAGTAACCGCCTCGTTGTCTTGTATGCTGATTAAAATTTTGATTAACTTGGAACCAAATAAAATATACTTACAGATATTCGTATTTTCATTACATACGACTTAACAGCACTCAAAATCTAACCGTTCCCTTATTCAATTTAACTCCACGGTTCTGATTATTATAAACAGTTATTATGTAAGTGTTACTAATCTCTTTTAACTGAAAGGAAATGAATTTTGAAAGTAGAAATTTCCACTTTAAAGTACAGCTATTCAGTTTACCACACTTTATGAATGCAAACATGAAGGTAGGATGTGGGCGAAACAAATCCAGCGAAACTAAAATAAATGAAAATCCTCGAAAGCAGAAACAATTACATGACGATTTAATGACTCTTGGAGATTAAATAAAGTGAACAGATTTGTGCTGCAGAAAACAATTTTGAACAATATCAAGATCCCTAGCCGGAGAGTACACTCCTCCTTGCATAGACCAAATCAATATAGACTGCTAATGTATATTGGTCCTACCCTTTCTATAACCCAATCTCTTGTCAGCTAAAACATTTTCTAGAGACGAAAGGCAAGCGATGTGGTAGGTGTAATACACTTTCTCGCCATCTCGATCGATACAGTTTCATAACCTTATCGATTGACTTTCTCTTCTCATCGAAAACTCTATTTCGAGTCTCATTATTACTGACCACATTGTAGCAATTAACACGTGAGATAGGATGCAGATGCTTATATGGTTAAAAACGGTATTTAGATGAGAGATGAGAACACTAAAAATCGGTATTGGTATAGGGTAGAAAAAGCATATCATGAGGCAAAGAATCAATACTGATAATATTAGCTTATGTTTGATGTCGATATGGTTGCCGGCAATCAATAAGCAATCTGAAACAATATCTTCATACCCACTGACGATAACAACTTAAAACACATTATAGTATTATTTACGTCATTATAGAATATACATATGTAGGCAACAAATAGCTTACCGACAGCTGCAGCTGTTTTAGATGTTGGCAAAGCAGCACAATCACCAAGTGCAAATATATTATCATAATGTTTATGTCTCAATGTATTAATATCAACACTGACATAATTAGCAGCATTAGGATCAGTCATATTTGGTGTTTTCACTAGAACATCAGGACAACTCATTGGAGGTGTGATATGCAAAAGGTCATACTGGAAATAAAAAGTGAAAAAATAAAATAAAATAAACAGAATGAATAAGTGGAAGTGCAGTCCACAGTGTAGTGTAGAACACTTCTTTTTTAAAAAAAGCACGTAAGTAATTTGTAAAAAATTATATTTGTAAAATCTCAGCGATATTGAAATGAGTAATTCCAACGTTTCCAGCGTTCGGCAATCTGGTCCGAACTTCTTCAGGGAAATTAATCGAAATTAACATAACAGAGGTTTATATATAAAAAGGAACATCACTTGATTTGTAAAAATTTGTCCAATCATGAGTCATTCAAAAAGTATCAACAAGTATAGTAAACAAAATCTCATGAGCTGTGATCAAAATTTGACCTCGAACTTACACATATTGGTCTACCTTTGTTAAACACTTTAAACAGAGTGTGTATGTGTGTGTGGGTAAACAGTTGTAAAACATTTCTTAAAGTCTCCATAAGAAGATATGGACAGTCGAGATTTTTGACCAAGTATTAATAATTAGTGATACATATCCATTTTTATTTATTAATAAGAATTTCCTTGTGCATCAGCTAACGTCACAACTTCATGTCTGTTCAAACTGTTAGTATCTAGAATTTTATGATTAGATGTATTTTCAAAATTATGGTGTTTAAGATTAGAGTTTAGTAGAAGCACCCTGTCGGACTTATTGCTTTGTCTTCTTTCTGAATATTGAGCTGCTTTATTCGACCTACTGGAGTTGTCAGGTGACTCGACAGCTACGGATTTAGGATATGCATTCCGTTGCAGACAACGGAGACTGAAAATACTATGATTGTGCCAATTACACAGTTTCTTTGTTAATTTAATTCGATAGCAAAATAATTCAAATGAACTGTCGTCAAGATTTGACAGAATAGTTCTAAAATAATTAGGCGCCGAGTGAGAAGTAGACATTTGTAAAAAATTATATTTGTAAAATCTCAGCGAGATTGAAATGAGTAATTCCAACGTTTCGTTCGGAAATCTGGTCCGAACTTCTTCAGGGAAATTCATCGAAATTAATATAACAGAGGTTTATATATAAAAGGAACATCACTTGTTTTTAAAAACTTTGTCCAATCATGAGTCATTCAACAAGTATAATAAACAAAATTTTATGAGCTGTGATCAAAATTTGACCTCGAACTTACAAATATTGGCCTACCTTAGTTAAACACTTTAAACAGAGTGTGTATGTGTGTGTGGGTAAACAGTCGTAAAACATTTCTTAACGTCTCCATAAGAAGATATGGACAGTCGAGAATTTTGACCAAGTATTAATAATTAGTGATACATATCCATTTTTATTTATTAATAAGAATTTCCTTGTGCATCAGCTAACATCAAACCTTCATGTCCGTTCAAACTGTTAGTATCTAGAATTTTATGATTAGATGTATTTTCAAAATTATGGCGTTTAAGATTAGAGTTTCGTAGAAGCACCCTGTCGAACTTATTGCTTTGTCTTCTTTCTGAATATTGAGCTGCTTTATTCGACCTACTGGAGTTGTCAGGTGACTCGACAGCTACGGATTTAGGATATGCATTCCGTTGCAGACAACGGAGACTGAAAATACTATGATTGTGCCAATTACACAGTTTCTTTGTTAATTTAATTCGATAGCAAAATAATTCAAATGAACTGTCGTCAAGATTTGACAGAATAGTTCTAAAATAATTAGGCGCCGAGTGAGAAGTAGACATTTGTAAAAAATTATATTTGTAAAGTATCAGCGAGATTGAAATGAGTAATTCCAACGTTTCGTTCGGAAATCTGGTCCGAACTTCTTCAGGGAAATTAATCGAAATTAACATAACAGAGGTTTATATAAGTAAGTAATTCATTTCTAGTGAAGTGGTCGATGGATACTGGTGCCAAATTTAAAAACTACAGCTAAACACCTATCCGATATTTCTTCACCTTTGACAGTTTCCTACCTGATATCAATCTGTCATACAAACTACATTTGCGGTTTCACAATGGTATACTTAAATCAGGATGAAAACTTTCATCGGCAAAGTCTACAGCTTATAGGCTGTGTTTTTAATTCACTATATATATGCCTGTCTACTCACTCATCTCCTACAACCTTTCATATGATCCTTCAGTCTACCAAAGCCAGTAAGATCGTAAGTGATAGTAGGCAGCCATATCACACTCCTGTCTCCACTTCAAATGTTTCACTGAATTTTTCATTGTGAATCACTTGGCACGTGTTATCATCATATAGCGAAGAGTTGGTGACAACATGATAGACACTCCCATAGTGCTTGAAGTCGTCATTTTGGTGACTGGAGCAGAATATTGACGCTCTAGTTAACAAATTGGAAAGTCACCCTCACTTATATCTGCTCTCACAGATTCCTAGCACTTCTATATTGTTTCTTCTCATTTCAAAAGAATGGTTACTGAACAAAGAATATTCTTTTCGATAACCTGCTGTGTTATTAACAACATTAATGTTGTTTAAATAACATAGAATCAATAATAATAGTAATAATAATAATACCAATGAATTACAGTTCGATAGCATCAACATAGCAATAAACTGAATGTCCGAAAAATTAGGAGAGATAATAATGCAAATTCATGAATTTATAGTCTCCACTGAAGACCAGGGCAGAAGTAGCGACTGGACTTGTTTTTTTTTGCACACAAAGCACTGGTTGTTCCACGCGAATCGTGATAGTCTCCGCTGTTTGAAGCATACGGTACTTCAGTGTTTTCGGCAATTTATTCGGCACCCGGTAGATGATAGAAGAGGATTCTTCAATGTTGGCTTTGTGTCCGGCCGATTTGGACTAGATGGTCTAGTATCGAACTGTTGATGGTTTTTACTACACCTTTACTTAGCCATACTGGGAGATGTTCCCGAGTGAGCACGAAAAATCAAGTTCCTAGAGCATCGGCCGATATAACTCGCTCCACCACAAGCGCAGTTGAGTCAGTCGGCAGATACAATTGGGATTGGCTAGTCTAGGTACTCCATCTTTCAGTCGAGGAATCACGATCGGTCGTGTAGTGAATAAGACAGTCACAGCAGCGCTGCCAATGGACTTTATGTGCAGATGTTTTACGTCCTTATGCTTACCTTTGCTTTCATTGAATGAAGACAAAACATATGCCGATTGACTTCCCACCTCTCCAATTTTAGCGAGTTTTTTTAATATTTTATCTACGCTTTTAAGTTTCAGTAGCAATAGGATTAATTTTCCAGGATAAGGTAGCTAGCCTCACGGTCAACCCTTCCCTCTCCCTCTGGCCTTAGGATTGGTTAATAAACTAGACGGGATTGTATTCTATGTGATAATCTAATACAATACAACTAGTTTACATCGAAAAAAACCCAGTTAAGCTTCACTTTTAAGAGGCATAATTCAAACTGAAAGATGTAATGAGATAACACCGTAATAAATTCCTACACATACATACAGTTACATGTAATATCCCTAGACTAAAGAAACCTAATGTGTTCAAAACTGGGATATATACAAAACGAATTACTTTGCTGCCTATTATCAACTATTTTCAAGTATTGGTTTTGTAGGGAATTTTGTTTGATTGCATGGAGGATTTCATCATCCAGTGGTTCTCTAACTGATGTCAGCTCATGATGAAATCCTCCATGCAATCAAACAAAAATCCCTACAAAACCAATACTTGGAAATTAATCTGATGTTCACTAACGACTGGCCTTATTCAGGCAGTTAACCTGGGGTTCTAGTGGAAAGCCGTGACCAGTAGGGTACAGCAGGTTGAAGATGAGGCAGTAACTCATCGAAGAAGACATTGCGAAATGGTCGCGCTATGTCGTGAATTGGCAGAAGTTAGAATTCTAGGCCCATTGGATCGGGTCCCAGTGGCTCAATGGTCAACGAGCTAGCTCGCCTAGTAACCAGAAGGTCTTGGGTTCAAACCCCGTGGTGTGAGTGCATGCTGATGAAGAGTCCAAAACTAGGACGAAACAGTTATCAACTATTTATCAGAACCTCGACCACGTCCAATGAACATTAAACGGTCAAAACTAATGAAATACACAATACATTAAAATGGGAACATACTTTAATTTTTACAAGCTTCTTTGTTTCCATATTTTCGAATACAGCTTCACTGGTTTGTGGATTCACCTGAAAAAATTACAGAAATGCATAGAGTGTGTTATAAGCATCAGTAATTAGGGGATTTGTAGTAACACTTATCATGCGGTGAGCTGACTGACGAACATGGAGATGTGTGCGTCGGTGGCACAGTGGTTAGGACTCTCGCCGACCATGCACATGGTCCGGGGTTCGATCCCCTACCGACGCACACCCGATATCTATGGTTGGCCTGCAAAATTTGGGCTACCGATATCCATGCTGAAAATTCCATACTTGTACTGAAAATACGGTGTGGCATCAAGCTGTAAGCAAAATAAAAAATATTTAAAAAAAATTACGAATACTGAGTGAATTAATTCATGACCGACAGCTTTACTATCTTGGTCCGGTGGTCAATAACCCAGCAAGCTACACTGGCTGGAACGAATATCCCTGAAGAACTTCCGATGACAGGAGGATTGTTTAGATGGTGGTTAGACTATAAGCAGTTTTCACCATAGTGTAAAACATTTACACTATCTCGAGGGGTCCGAGAGCGAAATCTTACACTGCTGGTGAGTAAGAGTGTAACAGCAGCAGTGAGATGTTCCTTTTGGACAGTAACCACAAAAGTTGTGCATATCGACTTACTCTCCAGTGGTCGTCCATAGCTAGTGGTAATGTCTTTAAACGGATAAAATTTGGAAAGTAGTCCTCAACTGCAGTCAAATCTGTCGCTTACAGCTATGTGGCATACTCCCCCTAACTCCTGAATAGGTTTTAATCAGAAAGTGTCTAATACAAGAGTATATCTAGGTAATCTAAGTACTTGATCAGCAATGATACGTTTCAAAAGGCACAAAATCTATCAAAAACGGTCACTGAATTTTAATGATAAGGAGGAATAAATTCCTTCTGAGATATTGTAAATAATGATAAGCTAAGTATGGTGATGAGGAAGAAACTGATCCTCAAATACCGCCCATTTTACTGTCATATAAACAACTACAGCCATGTGTACAGCAAAGTACAATTTTAGAATATTTCACAAATTAACTTTGAAAGATTTAAGATAATTCATAAAGATATGATATTCATAAGATGTGGTAATTAACGAATAAACATGGTTGGAAATCGCACTGTCTGTCTGTCTGGTTTCAACATAGAACTTCGCACCGGTGTGCAGCAGTTCGAGTCACCCCGATTCACTCAGCACACAAAGCCAGAGAGGAAAGTGAAAAGAAACGCGAAATAGAGACAGTAAACAGAGATATGATGCAAAAAGAATAGTAATATCGAAGAATAACAGTTTTATTGGAAATTATAAGTCACAAGGAGTGAATGCACCTGCACCACTGCGAACGATTTTGAGCCATAACAGTTATTGTCTCCAACCATTGGTGTTTACTGTCCCAAGGACCCCAACCAGGAAGTATACACCTTCCTACGTGGCTTAAAATAACTGTTTTGAATTTCACTGACTGATATCATGTTTTGGTTTGACCACCACTGACTCTTTTCCAACCAGATCGATCCTATGTTAGCCATGCCCATTGTCGAGGAAGGCGATGGCTAGGCATACGTAACACATGTCCTAACCATCTCAATCGATGTAACTTCACAACCTCGTCGACTGATTTCCCGTCCCATCTACCTAGCACTGGACGCCTAACCTCAATATAGCTCACCCTATTACATCGCCTAACACATGGGAGATAGAACGCAGACAGCTACGATCAAAGACAGCTAGACAGCCTTTTCATGTCTTCCACTCTCAACGGCCTGGTTTCACAGCCATAAAGGAGGACGGAGCGGAATGCTGAGCAGTACACACGCCCTTTAGTCGATAGCCGGATATTACGTCTATACCAGAGACAGCATAAACTGGCATATGCGAAACTAGCCCTCTGTATCCGTGCTGAGATTTCGTCGGTGATCAACCCGTTGGGAATGATGCAGCTTTCCAAATAACTGAAGTGGTCAACGTGATCCACCACTTCACTCCCTATTTCTAAGCTAGGAGTCAATGTTGTACAGTCCTGTAGTATCGTCTTACATTTGGCGGGAGCGAATCACATAACGAACATCTGCAGATTGCACCTCAAGGTGTTCAGAAGACTCAGCATTCTGTCAGCGTCTCCATTTTTTCAGCATCTTCGCCTAGAAGGACTATATCATCTGCATATTCTAATTCAACGAGACTATTATTCCCTGGTAACAAGTCAATCCCTGAGTCGCTGAAGGCACTTAGGGTTAAGTCCATTAGTACAGCTATGATGAAATTGAATAGAAATGGGGATAGTGGGCATCCCTGTCGGATACCACTAGTTGCCACCACTTCATATGACAGCTCGCCGTAAACTCTCACCTGGCTGCATGAGTTCGAATAGAATGAGTGCCTTGATCAGTGCAATGTATTTTCTCAGCAATCCTTTTACAGCCAAACATAGCCAGAGTACCTATCTGTCGACAAAATCGAATGCCACCCTTAGGTCAAGACATATAACGATTGTTGGACGCCAGTAAGTATGCCTATATTCCAGAATCTGTCGAAGGGTGAAGATATGATCAATACTTACTTACTTTACTTCGGCTATCTCCTACGGGAGGATGAGCCGGCTTCATGAACATCTCGAATCATCGCTGTCGTTTGTAAGAGAGTTCATGAAGTTTCATGGGAATTTGGTACGAGTGATGTCCCCAGAATCGCTCGGCCTTTTGTTTGAGAGTGCAGCTCTAGCCTTTACACAACCAAGTGTGACCTACAAGGCAGTAGGAGTGGAGTAAGGAGTCCACTATCCATTGGCAGCCGGTGACCGGAGTTCGGTTCATACGCCTTTTTGAATGGGGCCAGACATCCAGGACATCCAACAAGCCCTTTGTCCATACGTTTGCCGGTGAGCTCCAGTGAGTTTCATACGCCAGTCGTTGGAGGTTTGGAATCAGGGTCTAGCCATCTCCCCTAGACTGTCATCCAATGAACAGTCAACCCGGTGAAGGGCGCCAGGCATCCGCTTTCACCCTCTCACTTTGGTAAGAAAAACACCTCCGCCACGTGAAGGCAGTGAGTAGGACTTCCTCAGGAGAGGCTATGTAAGACGCCCGGTCATATGGGAGCATTTCAAGAGGTGTGCGGAGGGGTGGCCAACCCGCAGCGCAAGGCACCCACCCCCGACCATCCTGAGGCTTTGGAGGCATATGATCAATACACCCTCTTCCTTGTCTAAAGGCTGCCTAGTTCTCTCGTGTTTGTGCCTCCTGACCACCACTTAGTCTACGCATTATTATTGAGCCCAGAACTTTAGATACCATATTAGTCAAGCTAATCCCCCTGTGATTATCACAGGAAGACTTGTCTCCCTTCTTGCATATGGGGATAATCAGTGACTTACACCAACCCGACGGGAGTTCCTCTGATTCCCAGTCGCTTCCTAGTACCTTAGTTAACGCAGACAGTAATCTGTCTCCACTGTACTTAAATACCTCTGGAGTCATTCCATCATGTCTTGCTGCTTTGCCTGGAAATCGCACAAGAAGTGGAAAAAGACATCAGAAAATCAAAAAAGCAATGAAGACAAATATATAGAGTATAATTATAGGAATCTTTAGTTATTTCGAAATCCCCTATCCAGTAACAAGCCATAATCAACACTTGTTGTATGAGGGCTGATGATACTATACAGAGTTGCGCAGATTGAAGTAGGTGAAGAGGCTCTGAAACCCGGGACATATCGGCTGCAATTCAAAGGCTTAGGCAGGCGACTATTAGCCAGCGGATCCTAATCTCCAATCCTCATCCACCCACTTCAGCCTGGAGTCTTGGGCACCATCATCATCAGTCCTCAAATAATAAATAGGCTAACTCACAGTCTCTGGTACATAAAAATTCTATTTTCCAAAGAGAAGTAAGCTGGTAACAGTGCACATCATTAAAGGAATAGCTAAAGCGATAATACAAGCAGGTAGATAAGATTTTACAAACCCGGTTAAAATATGCTGCTGCTGCTGCTGGATTCAACACACAACTTGGCACCGAAGTGCAGCAGTTCGAGTTGCCACGTTCCAAATACCACACAAAGGTAGACAAGAAAATGAGTGAAGAGAATCAATAGTTTTGACAAGTATAAGAGTGAAACAGAATGAGTTATCGTAGAAAGGAATATGAAAGATTACAGAGACTGAATACATCTGCGTAAGCCATTGACAACGATTTTGAGCCATGTCACCTATTGTCTCTAGCCATTGATTCTTAGAGTCCCGAGGGCCCCAACCCGGAAGTCTGCATCTACCTACCTGACTCAGTTTAACTAACTGTCAAGGATTTCATGGATTGATGCCACGTTTTTGTTTGGCCACCGCTTATTCTTTTCCAACCTGCACCTATATCAGCTAGTAATGCCCGTCCGTCGGGGGAGGCGATGGTTAGGCATGCGCAGCAAGTGACCTAGCCATCCTAATCTATGTAACTTTATAGCCTCTTCGATTGATTTTCCCTCTTTGCCCAACACTCTACGTCTAACGTCAACATTACTTACCATATTATACCACCTAACGTGAGAAAGAGATCGTAGACATCTATGACCAAAATATACAACTCAAGGAACTGAATGTGATGAGCACGGAAGTGAACATTCCAGAATCTAATTTTAACAGCAATCCCAAAACAGTCGGCGGTTATTTTGAAAATCATATTTAAACGGAATCGGTCTTAGCTTTATAGTACAAAAATAATAATAATAATCCTTCAATCACTTTGCTGAGATGTAAACAACAGCAGGATGAAAAGATGGATAAATCACAGTTTAGAGATGATGTATGTTAATGGAGGTAAAAAAAACACTCAGCATCAAAGCGGAGGAGTAATTCAAAAACATGATAAATACACTCTTACTTCGACTAAATTATGCGATAAATTATAATGTATACCGCGTTGTTTACAGATTTCCGTTAAATTATTGGAATATTTATCCACTGAAAACATTTTATTTGTAGCTGTGAAGTAATGAATAGCAGCTGTGATATTCTTTCCAGACTGAAGTAGTTGAATGAATAATGCAAAACAAAACAAAACAAAAAATTATGTAATCACGAGATATTTAATAAGCGTACACAGAATAATTCGTGTTGATTACGCACCAGTAAAGAAATTCATCACATGACACTGAATAGCGTACTTAGATAGAATGCAAAAAAAAACAAAAACAACTATGAAATCAAACAAAATCAGTCAGTACTTTGATTGCAGACCCACTAACTAGTGTGTTATGCATTTTCAGTCATTTGTTTCACGTAAACTGAATTCTATCAGTCGGATTTGCAATGTAGCCACCATGCGGCTAGGTGTCTCGTAGTCACTAAGCACTAAAAAATTGTTTTTATTAGATGGTTGGAGGTTATCGTCAGGAAGCCTTCGACTTAGGTTTCGTGCTTGTTAGCACTAGTCAACAAGGCATATCTGCAATCTTGAAGGGACTCATGTCCTCTTTGAACCCGTTTTGAACCCGTGTCACGCAGTGCTGTAAACAGAAGTTACAATGTATATAATATCTAATAACAACAGTTCTCAAGGCACCGTGGTGGCAAGCCACCTAGCATGGTGGCTACATTACAAACACAACTGATAGAATTATTATTACCATTGTACGTATACATTGATTTTTTGTTTAAACTTGGATTCTCAAGGTAAGTATGTTAATATTGTTTCCGTGAATATACTTAATAATATCTTTAGGCTGTAAGCAGCTGATGAGAAGCCAACGAAACAAACTGTTGTTCTTGCTTTATTCAAATTCATAAACGGGAATAGATATAGGTCAGTCGCGAGCCCAAATAGCTGTGGCAACGCCTCCGACTACAGAACTGGGTGATACAGATTCTAATCTCAAAAGGGACATGAGTTCCTTCAAGATTGCAGCTACGCCTTGCTGACGAGTACTAACAAGCACAAAACCAAGATCCAAGGCTTCCTGATGATTGCATCCAACCATTTATAAACAAGATCAACCAGTGACAACACTGCTTTGAAATTTTACTAGTTTCTCCAACACAGAAAAGTGAATGTCATAATGAATGAATTTCAATGACTGACTGGTTTCAACGCAGAACTTTGCACAGATGTGTACCAGTTCGAGTTGCCACTCTCCTTTCATGTATCACACAGAGCAATAGAAGAGAGTAAAGAGAGATCCAAAAGACAGAGAGATAATAAACAGAAATGTGAGTGGGGGAAAAAGAATAGTAATATGGATGAACAATAGAGTTTGATTGGATACGACAGATCACAAAGAATGAAAATGCATCTGCGCCAGCCATTGAGAACGATTTTGAGACATATCACCAATTGTCTCCAACTATTAGTTCTCAGCATCCCGAAGACACCGAAACCACTCAAGAAGTCTACACCTCCCTCCCCACGTAGCTGGCTGGCTGGTTGACCGGCTTAAACTAACTCTTGTGGATTTCATTGACTGATGAAGTTATGTTTTGGTTTGACAATCAGTGGTTCTTTTCCAACCAGATCCATCCTGTGTAATCTAACATTTCCCATTGTCGAGGAAGGCGATGACCAGGCATGTTTAACACATGCCCTAACCATCTCTTTCAACCAGTGTAACTTCACAACCTCGTCGATTGATTTCCCCTCCCACTTACCTACCTAGCACTAGACCGAAGAAGCCTAACCCTAATATTGCTCACTTTATTATGCCACACAACGTAGGCACCTATGATCAAAGACAACTAGCCGAACTTTTCATAAATTCCACGAATTTTAGTGTATCTATAACAAACAATCAACAGAGAAGCAAATACGTTGGATTGTTTCACTTGCTTCTCAACAACACTCGTATGAATCAAGTCGATTCAGACAAGCAAACTGACAAGACTCTCTGAAATGACATTGAGCGTATTAAAACTTGACAGTTTGAAATAGAGCTTCAGTAAAGATATTGACCGGTTATTCGCACTGCAGTTTTTCCCATCAACGTTGATCAAGCGTCTGAATGGTATTCTGCCAGCAGTGAGACCTAATGGTCACACGCTGAATTCCACGATGGATTGTAGATGTACGCTTTTTTAACTAGTAGTAAGTTTCGAGTGTAAACTTCATTCCCACTACTTTAGGTAGTAGTATCAAATGTTGATAATAGTCTTTATTGTAATGATAATTCTTATTTCTGTTATTCTGATGATATACACATGGAAAATTGTTTTATCCAAGTATTATAATTCCACAGGTAAAATACAACAAAATAACAAGATAGATTCAACAATAAACTGACATTAACTGCTCCCTGTAGTACTAAATGAGAAATTGAGACCAGTGAAGTCTACAAAGTTAAGCGTAAGCACAGATACCGATCCATGACATTAGCTGGCGGTGGAGCAAAATATTTTGATTTTGATTTTGATTACAGCTTGATGCCACAACGTATTTTCAGTATAAGTATGGCATTTTCAGCATGGATATCGGTAGCCCAAATTTTGCAGGCCGACCATAGATATCGGGTGTGCGTCAGTAGCGGTTCGAACCCCGGACCATGTGCGTGGTCGGCGAGAGTCCTAACCACTGTGCCACCGACGCACAGAGAAGTTAAAATTGATGGACCATTGAATATTCCACGGTGGCGTGTGGTTGCCTACTACCTTGAAAGACCTGGGAGTTGATACCTGGTAGGATCACAGAGGTATGATGTATACTGCTGAAGAGTAGCAAACGAGGACGATGAAAACTATCCAGTAATCTCTAGTTTTAGATGTTCCTCTCACTGATATCCATTAGTGATGAAATTGACCCTGGTATTCATCGAACCCCAACAAACTGATGCTTAAGAAACAATAAAAAATAGCAATTGAATTTCAGATTTTCCTGTCCACTGATTAATTGAACCGAAGCGCTCGGTCTCATGTTGACATGTCGGCTTCTTGTGCAAATGCCTCGACGATGTCTGAGCATTTAATTAGAATTTAATTGGTGGATGGTGACAGAAGCCGACATGTCAACCTGAGACAGAGCACTTCGGTCCAATCAATCGATGGGATGATCTAAAATTCAATTAAAATTAATATGACCCGTTGCACAAGAGGTGGCTCAAGTGGTCTAGTGGATAACGCTTTGGCGTTTGAAACTATGGGCACTGGGTTCCAGCCTCGGTGGGGACATCATCACTCACTGCGAAATGTAGGTGCATCCAGATGATTAGTCCCAAATAGGACGAGATGCGCATCCTGCATTCCACTGCTAGTCACCATCCACTAATCAAATTCTAACGAAAAATAGCACCTACATTTATAATTTTGGTGTGATCCCCTGAATGCAACAGTTTATATAAATATTTGCATTTCAGACTAGATGAATTCAACGATATGCACGAAAAACATTATCTAAGAACTACACGCACAGCTATAGAAACTAGGTTAATATTTAGGTCTGTCTGTCTCTCTCTGTCTGGATTCAGCAGTTCGAGTTGCCACGTTCCAAATACCACACAAAGGTAGACAAGAAAATGAGTGAAGAGAATCAATAGTTTTGACAAGTATAAGAGTGAAACAGAATGAGTTATCGTAGAAAGGAATATGAAAGATTACAGAGACTGAATACATCTGCGTAAGCCATTGACAACGATTTTGAGCCATGTCACCTATTGTCTCCAGCCATTGATTCTTAGAGTCCCGAGGGCGGGCACCAACCCAGAAATCTGCATCTACCTACCTGACTCAGTTTAACTAACTGTCAAGGATATCATGGATTGATGAGGCCATGTTTTTGTTTGGCCACCACTTACTCCTTTCCAACCTGCACCTATATCAGCTAGTAATGCCCGTCCGTCGGGGGAGGCGATGGTTAGGCATGCGCAGCACGTGACCTAGCCATCTCAGTCTATGTAACTTTATAGCCTCTTGGATTGATTTTCTCTCTTTGCCCAACACTCTACGCCTAACGTCAACATTACTTACCTTATTATACCACCTAACGCGAGAAAGAGATCGTAGACATTTATGATCGAAAACAGTCAACACTCTTCAACTCGTATCGGCCACGTTTCAGAGTCAGAGAGAAGGACGGAGCGAGCTGCTGAGCAGTACACACGTCCCTTGGTTGGTATAATATTTAGGTAATGGTAAATACTCGTCAGTTTTGGGAACTCAATCACCCTAATTCATTGTAAACATTTTTGCCACATTTCAAGAAAAAGTATTCATCACAAACATATTATGTAGGCTCTGTTTAGTACGGGGATAGAGAAAATTTGATAGCTAGCAGCTTCTAAACGCTTACACAGCACAGCCTTCTACGCCCATATCCATTGTGCAAAGAAGTCATCGTTTACATGTTGTGATTAAGCATTTTAGGTGATTCTGCATTTCCCGTTGATTCACCACTATATTGAACCGAAATACTCAGTCTCTATTGACACGCCAACTCCTGGTAGAGAGGCATCGATATGATGACTAAGCATTAACGTGAAGTCAGTTTCGTTAGTTATGACTGGTTGTGGAATCCAAAATGTGCATTCCATCCTCTTATGAAGTAATCGTCACTGTTCAAGTATTGGTTTTGTAGGGGTTTTTTTTGATCGGTTGAGGGATTTCATCACCAGCAGAAATCAAGTAGAGAACCACTGAAAAATCTGCAGCGTTATCTGGACAGTTGCTTCGCCCTAGGCTAGGACTCCTCATCAGCACCCACCCACCGAGGTTTGAACCAGGGGGCTTCTTCTTACAAGGAGAGCTCGTAGACCATTAAGCCGAACCAATGGCCCATGAACCGTCATAAAATAGATCAGTGCTAACGACAATGCCCTTTACACAGTACTAGTTCTCAGCACATCACCGAAGTCAAGCTGTTTTTATCCCGGTCACTTCCTTCATGGGTAAATGGTTAGGAATAATCAGTATTTCTCAGATTTGCATGTGTCTTATTGGCTTAAACAACGCAACTCTCAGCCCATCTACGTCCTGGGTTCAAACATCTCTTCACCTACTTAAGACCAGGTAAGTAACTAGGTAGCAGTATCATCAGCTTACAGCGTC